GGTGGATTCTTCGATGCTTACTGAGCTGAGATGAGTGCCTAAACATTTTCCCACATTCTTGACATTCAAATGGTCTCTCTCCTGTGTGAATCCTACTATGTTTAGTGAGGTCACCTGAGAAGGAAAATGTTTTCCCACATTCCTGACATTCAAATGGTCTCTCTCCTGTGTGAATTCTACTATGTTTAGTGAGGTCACCTGAGAGGGAAAATGTTTTCCCACATTCCTGACATTCATAAGGTTTCTCTCCTGTATGAATTCTTCTATGTCGACTGAGGTTATTTGAGCAGGAAAATGATTTCCCACATTCCTGACATTCATAAGGTTTCTCTCCTGTATGAATTCTTCTATGTGGAATGAGGCTATTTGAGCGGGAAAATGTTTTCCCACATTCCTTACATACATAAGGTTTCTCTCCTGTGTGAACTCTACTATGAGAAACGAGTTTACTTGATCGAGAAAATGTTTTCCCACATTCCTTACATTCATAAGGTTTCTCTCCTGTGTGAATTCTTTTATGAGAAATGAGTGTACTAGATTGAGAAAATGTTTTTCCACATTCCTGACATTCATAAGGTTTCTCTCCTGTATGAATTCTTCTATGTTGAATGAGGCTAGTTGAGCAGGAAAATGTTTTCCCACATTCCTTACATGCATAAGGTTTCTCTCCTGTATGAATGCTTCTATGCCTAATGAGGTTATTTGAGCGGGAAAATCTTTTCCCGCATTCCTTACATTCATATGGTTTCTCTCCTGTGTGAATTGTAATATGTTTAGTGAGGTTGCTTGAGAGTGAAAATGTTTTTCCACATTCCTTACATTTATAAGGTTTCTGTCCTGTATGAATTCTAATATGAGATATGAGTTTACATGATTGAGAAAATCTTTTCCCACATTCCTCACATTCATAAGGTTTCTCTCCTGTATGAATTCTTCTATGTTGAATGAGGGTATTTGAGTGGGAAAATGTTTTCCCACATTCCTTACATTCAAAAGGTTTCTTTCCTGTATGAATTCGCATATGTTCAGTGAGGGAAGTGGATCGTGAAAAAGATCTCCCACATTCCTTACAGTCATGAGTTCTCTTTCCTCGGTGAATTCTCAGATGTGGAGTGAAGTCAGGTGATGTGGCACAAGTTTTCCCACATTCCTTACACGTGGAAGGTGTCTCTACTCCATGAAGTTTTCTATGAGAAGTCTGGTGACTTGATTTGGAAACTGGTTTCTCACATTCCTTACACCTAGCAGGTTTCTCACTTGTATAAGTTTTCCTATGTTCAGAGAGGTCATGTGATCGAGGAAAGGCTTTCCCACATTGCTCAGGTTCAAAACTTATCTCTCCCGTGTGACTTCTTCCCTGCGCTGTGATGTGACTTGATGGTGAAAATGCTTTCACACTTTCTTTACTTTCATTAGGTTTCTCTACGACATGTGTCCCTGAAAATCTCCTTAGAGGAAAAAGAGAAAAAAACATTTATCACACTTGTGACAGTGATACAGCCTACGTACACTCTGAATTTTTCCATCTGCTCTGATCTCTCCATGTCATAGTACAGGAATAATAAGCTTCCCATTTTCTGTACAATCATAAAACCGATCAAAAATGATAAAAGTTTGTTGAAAAACTAATGGAAATGTATTTATAGAAGGGTTTTTTTTAAAAAAAGAAGTTTTTTCATGTTTCTGTACATTCCCAATAGTCTACCACCTGCATCCACAGAGATAAGAAGGCACAGAAATTTTACCTACGTGTGTCACATTCAATGCATGGTCTCAGCAAGGTGAGTCCACAACAGGTGTACATTTAGAGAACTTCCTTCCAAAGAAGGAAGATTGTAAATTCTGATGTAGCTTTCATGGGTGATTCTGTGCA